GCTCGCCGTTATCGATTTCATCGGCTTCTTCTTCATTGAACTCGGATTTCAAAAGGGCGACACCACAGGCCAATCTTCCATTACCCGATTTCCAAAGTCGACGACAACCTCAAAACGGTCAACCTTCACTTACTCCACCGAAGTCCGACTAATCGGCCACCGACCTCAAAATAACCCAACATCAAAGCAACCGGACCAGACGAAATAGATGTATTTACTTTCCAATTTACTGTTGTACCTCCGATTTGTTGCTGGAACCGACACCGCCGTCTTCGATCTTTAAATCACGATCACCGGGGCCTTCAACAACCGACTTCTCCTTCTCCATGACCGACATCGTCTCTCCGACATCCGTCATCGCCGGCCTCTTCCTTCTCAAACCGACGACGAATCCGATCCTGACCTCGGAGACAACCGTGGCACGGTCTCACTATTACCGACATAGCCGGTTTCTTCGTCATCGGACTCGGGTCCTCAAATCATAAATCAGGCCGAGTTCCAAAACAAACCGACGTCTTTATCCGACCTCCATAGCAGGGCAAACTCGGATCTCAGATTTTTAACCAATCTTGAACTCAGCTGGTACTATCATCACCGACGTCTACATACCACCGAGATCCACCTCACGAGCCGACTTCATCACGGCCATCCTACATCCGAACCGACGTTCTCATCTCGGATTCCAGCCACTGGGTCCCTGATTTGTCATCGGTCGATCGGCGTCAACATCCGACTTCAGCACCTCCGGCCTCAAAGGTCACCGGTACCCGACGTCGTTCGCCAAGGCAAAACCGACCTCGGAACCCGACTTCAACAGACTGGCCCGATCTCGCCGAAAATCGACATTTCGATCCCTGACATTGCCGCCCAACCTCACCTCCGTCTATCTCCAAACCGAGATACGCATCTCCGATTTCAGTCGCCGGAGTTCCTCTCTTCGCCAGTATCGACCCGATTTCCCAAAATTAATGAACAGCCCTCGAATCGATAAATAAATTCCGACCTCAACCAAGGCGCTTCTTCAATCTGTCTGGCGAACACGCATCTGATCGCTACATCTCAAATCCCCACTTGAGAAGCTCTAATTACTTTGCTTGTTGGGCCTTGGGACTTGTTAAAAAAAAAAAAGTAAGGGCTGCTAGGGAGCATTCGGTCATAGACAATGATTGGGCTGTTTACATATAAGTTCGAAGACTAGTTGACAATAAAATCTTGGACTCCGAGCTCGTTTCATTATACCGGCAGCATCCGAAGCCGAGTTTATTTATATCGACAATCACCGGAGCCAACTTCATTTACTCAAGCCAGCGAAAGTCGGGGCCGAGTTTATTTATTCACGTCGACGAGAGCCGGGGTCGGGTCCATTTATCAACGTCGGGGCCGACTTTTAGTCAAACTGATGATTGTCGAGCTCATTATTAATACTGGGGCCGATCTTATTTATTTATATCAACGTTAGCCGGGGCCGAATACATTCATCCACGCCGGGGCCGAGTTCGTTTATCTACGCTAGGGCCAAGTTCACTTGCTCAAACCGACGACAACTGGGGCCGAGCTTATTCACTATGAGCTGATTCATCACTCGAACGTCCCAGACTTTACTTACCTATGTTGGGGCTGACTTTATTCATCAAAGCTGGGGCTGAATTCCTTTATGCCGCCACCGGTCATTTATCTCCGATGTCTTTATATTCGCTCGCCGTAGAGCCTCGACTTCAGCTGAGCTGACGTCTTTATACTTCTTCGCTGTTGAGCCCTTGCTTCAACCATTAAAAAAAGAGTCGAATCTCTAAAAATAGTTTGGCGCATAAAAAATGTGTGTCTTCCCCGCAAGAGGCAAGGCGTAGAACCTACCATGGGGAAACACAATTAATGGACTTTCGAAAAATCAGTCCACCTTGCATAAGCCTCATTTCCTAGTCCTAAAGATGACCTGGACAGGCTAATGCAACACAGCTGGATACTTTCAAGCCCTGAAGATGGTTTGGGGAGGCTGATGCCTGTCGTAGCTAAATCTTGAAGTTGATTTAGCGGGCTTACAATAAATAACCGACATCAATAATGTAGTCGGATCAAAGTCTAACATATGCCAAATCCCACAGCTGATTTGGTAGGACTAAAACCCGCAATAATACCAAATCCTTAAGATGATTTGGTCCTGAAAGTGATTTGATACGGCTAGCGGATGTTCTTTGGCCAAATCCTGAAATTGATTTGGTACGACCAATATTCCGGCAAGGCACAACACCTACCGGCAAAAGGTTAGACTCGACGAAACATTGAGGTAACATCATTTATTGTGCATTAATTATTTACCGCACGTGCTCATTATATATTCGTGCATTCCTACATACATTCATCATATACGCGCATCATACATACATTTTGACATAAAAACTTATTTTCCAAACCCTGAAGTTGGTTTGGCAAAACTAATGCCCTTTAAATCACAACAAAGATCAAGAACACACCACCTGACCGATAAATAAATGAATACAATACACCAAACGCTTTTATATGTGTGAGCCTACACTGGTTAGGCAAATTAGTAATATCTTACCGGCTGGAACGATCATATTCCTTAAAATATTGAAAGACCGAAGACCGGATACCGAATTATCCGACCAGGTCCAAATTACCGAGAAACATAAACAAAAATCGCGTCGTCCTAATACCATGACAAAATCGTAAATGCGATAACAATATCATGGGGCCCGAGTGCCTACAAATATCCATGTTATTGTCACCATTACAAAAGCAAATTCACCAAACGCTTAACGTTATACGCTTGAAACACGAAAATTGGGTACCGAATTACCCAACCAGGCCAATAAGGCCTCCATTCATATAGCAATTTCATAAAGTTGACTATCCACGCGGTCGACTTCATTCGTCAGAACAAAAAACATGATTAGCATTAATACGTCGGGCCGAAGCCTGAACACGATCGATAAAGCGACGACGGGTACCAAAGTACCTGGACAACGTCCATTGATCATTTTTATCACAACATTCAGACAAATTGTAAAGCAAAAGTCAGCCAAAATTGACTGTACATGCGACTACAGAGCAGTTCTATTTAGAACATGTCCTAAAGTCGGGGGCCTACTGTTGATACCCAATTTTGGCCTCGCCTATTAAGATATTACACGTGGATATATATAAAATAGCAGGTTCTTTTATCTGATTTACATTGACCGAGTTCCCAAAAGTCAAGGCAAAGGTCCACGTCCGAAAACCGCCAGCTTGACCTAGATATCATAAAGAAGCCAATTTGACAGACACGTCAAATTGTCTACAAGACACATGCAAGTCGAAGTGCCAGTCAATCCAATTATTTATTTTAATTATTAGGCCTTGCGCGGTCATATTTATTGGGCCTTGCACGGTCATTTGATTAATTACATGTGTATTGTGAAAGCCCATTAGATATACGGGCCCATACTAGCCTAGATATAAAAAGATATATATATGGGCTGGAGGATAAGTAACAGGGGACTTTTTTGGGATCAAGATAGAGGCACCGCCTCTCGTTCTTCCTTCATCTTCTTCATCATATTCTTACTATTTAATTTTTTTGATTCCTTTGATTCTTCCATGGAATACATCTAAAAATCAAGAAAAAGAGATAAATCTTCATCTCCCAAAAATCACAAAAAACTCATATTTATCCTACATCGATTATTCATGAAATAGGAATGCATATTTTTGTTGTTACAATTTCGTATAACAACAACACTGCTCGCAACAAACTAAAAATTGTTATATAATTTGTAAAAATGAATATGTTATGATTAAATTATAACTTTGATAAATGCGGTGATATTAGAGGCAAATATACCAAAAAAAAAGAAAAAAGAAAATAAACAACTGGAATTAAACAAGTCCTGTCCTCATCCCACTTCCATGATGCCCTGCACGCTGCACCCTCTCGGGAAATTGCAGGGGATTCATGTGCTCTATAAGCAGCCTTTTCTCATCTCCTTTTTATCATTTTTCCAAGACACAATTTCCCTAAAATAGAACACAAATACAATATTTTAAGTAAATTAAATTTTTTAAAAAAATGAGGCGAGTTGGTCACTTTTAAATGATCCCATGTGATGCTACAGACCTATCATTGCAATGGTCCACACGTAATATAATAATATTACACCACTTATGTATTATACATGTATGTTGAGTTAATAAATATACGATAAAATTTTTTTTTTAAAAAAAAAAATTATTAAAATTTTGATGGAGTAGCTTCTTAAAAAAAAATAGATAATGATGTGTAAATGGTGATTTATAAATATAGAAAGTGATGTGTAAATGGTGATTTAAAAGAAAAATATGGATGAAAATTATAAGATGGTAAGATTGTTATTACTACAATAACAACAATAACATACCCAGTATATTCTCAATTGGTTGGGGTTTGGGGGGTAAATTGTACGCAAACTTTACCTTTGTAATTATACAAGGAGTCTGTTCCCGTAGCGACCCAAAGTGCATTGCGTCAAAGATTACTATTATTAAAATTGCGGTGTGAATGTTGATTTCTGTTCTGTTATACCTTCTATTGCGGTATGAATGTAGAGTTCGGTTCGGTTATTCTTTCTATTGCGGTACAGTTCGATTAAGAAATTTTAAATATTTGGTTTTGGTTTTTTATGCTCACCAAATTTGGAAAAAAAAAATTATTTATGTCAATATAAAGTCTAATTTCAAAGTAAAAATGAATATACTAAACCAACATTAGAAAACAAAGATTTTCACCGTGTCAACATCCGATGCGTGCGAGTTTGTTGTAGAGGGATAAAAATTGAATCTTGGCACCACCGTTATTACGCTGAAAATCCAGGCCCAATTTTGAGAGCTGCCAACCATAAAAGGGGCCTTCTTTGTGACCCATTTGAAATCAGAAGAAGAAAAAAAAAAAAANNNNAAAAAAAAAAAAAAAAAAAAAAAAATCACAATAATACTGGTTTACTTAGAATAATTTATCTGCACCAATAATGGGGTTTTTCATTGTGCTTCGGATGCTGTTGTGTTTTGCCTGTTTCCATCTTGCTTTTGGCATCAGAGATGGTACGCTTATTATAAATTAAGTGTCTTTTTCTTTACTGAATGTTCTTAATTCTTGTATTTCTTATACCACACTTCATTTTTTGTAATTATTATTATTATTATTATTTTTTTTTTTTTAGATCCAGCAATATGTTTGTGTGATATTTTGAAAAAAACATGGTACAACTTTTGAACACTTTGAGGAAATGAAAACCAGACTTTGCTTTGAACAGATAAACGACATGTTAAATGCAACAGAAACATTAAAGTCACATAAAAACGCAATCTGGCAACGTTCATTAGGTAGTTGTAATGTAATAATGGTGAACAATAACTTTAGCCTGCTTTGCTTTAGTTATTTATTTGGTGATTCTACAATTGTTTTGTTAACGTCCGTTTTGCTGTGAAGCCAACAGTTGACTCTATAGTGGAGCCATAATTCTATATACAACAAGTAAATCTTACCATATTAATAAAATTATATTAGTGTTATTAATTAATCAGAAAATATGAAAAATTTACTTGTTGTTTATATAAGGTTGGCTCCACTCTAAGCCAACTGTTAGATTCGTAGCAAAACCGTTGTCCATGTAGCGATAAACTCTATCCTTCCCATCTTTTGCTTTTTTCCCTTTATCCCTATCTTGCCAGTTGGATCTTGAGGTAACATTATTAGATCATCTTCAACCCTTATCTCTGCTGCTCCAGTGCTGGACAGTGTAGATTCTAAAGTAGATTCTAGAGTAGAGTGAAACATTCATCTTCAGTCTTCATCTCTATATTTTATTCTATATCAAATATATTATTTTCAAATATATTAATTTTTTATTCTTTTTTTATTTCAAATAAATTAGTATAAGTGTATATTTAATGTTATATAAATGTTTATCACCCAAATAATAAATATATATTTTACTTTATTTATTTTTATTTCAAATGACTTGGTATTTTTACGTTTTTATATTTACCTTTTTTGTAAAATTTTTTATTTTAATGAAATTTATTTGTTTGAATGTGTTAAATTTTTATTAATGTGATATCATTTTAATAATAAAAATTATAAAATAAAAATATAATTCATCAATTAAATTAAATTATTTAGCATAAAAAATACATTTCACAAAGTTATTTAACATAAAAAGTACATTTACTAATGCACATTATATAAAAATTTACCAATAATATCACATAAAAATACATAAAAACAATTGTAGCGTATTGCTAGTGTTGCGCCACATATGGCAACACAACTCACATCTCTCTTCTAGTGCAGAGTTCTGCCAAAACATTGGAAGAGAAATTCTCGCTACTCCAGCGCCTGAATGCCAATTTTGGAGAGAGATAATCTTAATTTTATTGTTTTTGTTTTTATCAAAGGTAGCATTATTAATTTATTTATCCCTTAGCATGTAAACAATAAAATCTTAAAACTTAAGACTTTGTACTAGATTCTTTCTTGATTATTAGGTATATACTACTGTTACCCTTGAATTAGGATAGTGAAATGTCCATTGAGGGATGGTGCATTAAAAACTGTATTAACCTTATTAAAGTACGTTTATAGTATAGATTGTCCCACATCGAGACAGGAGATAATATTTTTTTTCTATCACAAATTCCTACAAACACCTATCCAAAAGATTTTCCCATCTTCGAGTCACGTGGGTTTCACGTGCACCTAATTGACTCCTGTTTTCGGCCAATCCAAAACTGGTCCTGCTGCTTTTGAGTCATGTGGCTTTTAAGTCCCCCGTTTCTTTCAAAACACCAAAACAGTTCAAACATAGACAAAATTGCTATTTGGTCATATGATTTAAAAATTCAACGTCATTTCAGTTTTTGAAAACATAAATTGCAACAAAATTTTATATTACGACTTAAATTGCTAATAAATAATTTTTGGAATGAATTTTGTATTAGCAACTTAAGTCCGGTAATTTTAAATTTTATTGCAATTTCAGTTATCAAAAGACTGAAATTGCAGCAAAATACTAAATTGCGGATCAAAAGATTAAAAATTGAAATCTTTGGACTAAAAATGCTAGTGTTAAACCAGCATGACTAAAAATGCATTTTTTTTCTTCAAACATATATACAATTTGAATGTGATGTGTGATCTTGTCACTGCCCATATTTTTTTTAATTTTTTAGTTAATCTGAAATTTAAAAAATAAAAATAAAAATGCAGGGCTATTGGACAACGGCAATTTCGAGCTGGCCCCGAAGGCCTCGGACCTGAACAAGACAGTCCTTCTCAGGCCCGACGCCATACCCAAGTGGCAGACTTCGGGCTTTGTCGAGTACATAAAAGCGGGCCAGAAGCAGGGGGACATGCTATTGGTGGTGCCGGAAGGTTACGCGGCCGTTAGACTAGGAAACGAGGCCTCGATCAAGCAATACGTAAAAGTGACCAAAGGAATGTACTACTCGTTGACTTTTAGTGCGGCCCGAACTTGCGCCCAGGAGGAGAGGGTTAATGTGTCCGTGGCCCCGGATTTTGGGGTGCTCCCGATCCAGACGTTGTATAGCAGCAGCGGTTGGGACTCGTACGCATGGGCCTTTCGGGCCGTTTATGATGTGGCTGAGATTGTCATTCACAATCCCGGCGTGGAGGAGGACCCTGCCTGTGGCCCGCTCATTGATTCGGTTGCTATTCGGGCTCTGTATCCTCCAAAGCCCACTAGCGGTGAGTTTCATTCCTTAATACTCTTCAATATTTATCAGATGCGGTGAGTTGCATGAATCGAATACGAATGCAAGTGGCTTCACACATGTGTTTTCTTAGTAATTAATGCAGCATGTGCACCATCAAATTCATAAATTCTGGGTTCGTACTCATAAATTTGTCGGGCACACACACAAAAGAAGAAAAAAAAAAGATTGCATTCATTGACAATTTTGTCATAACTTGTAACGATGCAGATAACCTTTTGAAAAACGGAGACTTTGAAGAAGGCGCGTACATATTACCGAATACGAGCTGGGGAGTCCTTATCCCCCCGAACATCGAGGACGACAACTCGCCCCTGCCAGCCTGGATGGTTGAGTCCCTCAAGGCCGTGAAATACATCGACTCGGCCCACTTCACAGTCCCACACGGCCAGCGGGCCATCGAGCTCGTGGGGGGAAAGGAGAGTGCCGTGGCCCAGGTGGCCCGGACGGTGGCTGGCCGGACCTACCGGCT